TATCTAAAGGATTGCATTGACAAACTATCCTTCTGTTATAAACAGAAATACGAAGGTAAGTATAAAAAATATAAAAGAAACATGCTCCTACAATCTGTTTTCTTTGGGAGTCAGTTAAGCGATATTTCTTTGGGTCTGGTAATGAGTGCGCTCGACTTAAAATCTTTGGGTCACGGGTTCGAATCCTGTCATCGAACATGCTCGCTCTTTCAGCCATGGGACCATTATATTATGATGGTCAATCAAATTTGTCTCAGTAGCTCAAGACTTAGCGATGGGCGATGTTGACTATCTGACTTCCTTTTAGTTTATCGCTTCAAAATCAAGGACGGCTAGCGCAGATAGCTCTAGAGTATCTTTGGGCGAAATTCGACAAACAAACGGACTTCCTTCTCATGTTGGTTGACAACTAAAGAGAAATGAATCTCATTTCTGAAATGTTGAAGTTGGACAATTTTTTAACTAACGAACATTTTACAATTCTTTTGACATAATTTCTAGTTTTATATATCGTTTTGGCTGATTTCCAGTTAATTTTATGATGAAGATTTATCATGTGAAGAAAAATAACACTATTTTAACATCCCTTTTATGTTCTGGGAGTCTTTTATGTAAATTCTACCCGTTTCACCAACATAAACTTTGTCACAAGACTGACAGGGGACTATATAGACTCCTTGTTTGTTATTTGGAGGTGCAGACATTTTCGAGGGTAGGAAGTTCTTAATGGTGTTGGGATATTTTGAAATTGTTGTTTTTGAGACTGTAGTTGACGCTGAGTATTTTCTTCTTATTTTCATAAGTAGATGATGCTGTTTGCTAGCTATTGTTCCTACAGAATGTCTTCCTTGCCTTATGATGGGCATTTTTGATAAAACCCATAGGATATTGTAGCAGTTTGAAGAATTTGTAAATGTTTTTATTTCTTCGTTAAGGGTAGTGTGATGACATATTCTGAAAGCTCTTAGAAACAAATAAGTCATAATAGGTGTTTATAACTGTTTCATAGTGGCACGAGAAAAAGTGAATATAGCTTAAAGGATTTGTTTTATATTACTCTACACGGTATTGTGTATTTACTTGCTATCAAAATATCCACGAAGGAACAAAAATACACTAAAAATACTTTCAAGAGCCATCGTGAAATTGACTCTTGAAACGAAACACTACTCTACAGTACAAAACAAAAAAGGTTACAACGACAGTTTGTGATAAACTATTGAGGAATAGAATCGTTCCTAAAACCTTACTACCGAAGAATCAAGAACTATCGCAGTCTTGAAAAATCAATTTTAACTGACGTCATATGTCCTCAAGAGACTTGAAACGACCGTCATAAAATAAACTATACGTGTTTCTCTCACAAAGAAAAGTTGGACTGAAGAGGACACGTGAAAGTGTCGGAATTTGTTTCCACATAAACTTCTTGTTCCAACAACACTGGATGTAAACTTTATTTTTTAATACTGTTGACGTCATCTTACTCGAAGTTTCTAATTTTTTCTCGTTATATGAATGTTGTTGTCACTAGAGGTCTAGATATTTCTAGATTTTTCTGTCTTGTGTTATAACTACATATAGATACAGGATGAATAAAAGGAAGATAAGTGAGACATAATCAGACAGATCTAAACAGAGTGATTGCCA